TAAAGGCAAGGAGCAGGAGGAAAGGGAGGAGGAAAGCATGCGGGAAAGAGAGGAGGAGCGCCAGTACCATGAGGGGTTTGAAGTCTCGTGGCGCTCCTTCAGGCACCTGTGGGGCGAAGCAGCGCCAGGCGGGAGGAGGAGGAGGAGGGGGAGGAGGAGGAGGAGGAGGAGGAGGAGGAGGAGGAGGAGGAAGGAGGAGGACGAGGGAGGAAGGAGCGGGAGGACCTGGAGAGCCGCCGCCCAAGCGCAGCCCCCCCCCCCCCCTCCCAGGCGCGCACGGATGGCTGGCGGCGGCGGCGCCCGCGCCCGTGGGGGGCCGCGGGGGGGCCGGGGAGGGGAGCCCCTGCGCGAAGCGGCGGCGTCGCCCTCCCGCCTCGCCTCCGCCGGCTCGGGAAGGTCGTCGCCTCCCCTCGGGGTCGCGTCTTCCGGCAGCTGCGGGAGACGGCCGCGCGAAGGCCGCGGGAGACCCGAGCTATCAAGCTCGGGCTTGGCCTATCAGGGGGTATCATACCCCCGGATAGGCCAAGCCCCCGCGCGCCGTGGCAAGCGCACGAAGGACCCAGGCTCTCGTCGTCGGCGGCGAGGCAGAGGCAGTCCGCACCAACGTGGGGCGAATCGGGGCAACCGAAAGGCGGACTGTCCGGTGCGCAAGGGGAAGGCAAGCAGCCAAGGGCGGCCGTGCGGGGAGGAGGGGGGAAACCGCTCAGACGCGGAAGGTTGCCGCGAGGAGCGGGCCGGAGCGGAGGAAGGACCCATACGTGCGCGGGCGCGTCTTGGGCTCCATGCGCCCCCCCCGAGGTCCCGACCCCTTCTCCCTGGGCCAGTGTTTCGCCCCAAATCTGTTTTTTGACGTTCCTGGGGCCCGAAAGCGGGCAGGAGGGCAACATCCAGGAAGAACCGCCAGGACGGCAGAAACTCAGACCGCTGGAACCCTGGGCCCTCGCGTCGTGAGGAGCACACGGCGGGGGGTCTTGAACGATTTTGCGGCCTCGCGGGGGGCCTCGCCGGGCCCCAACACGGTCCGTCAGAGCAGCTCTTGGAAGCCACGGCGGCACCAATCGCCCGAGGCGTCCTCCGAGGAAACGAGAAGGGCCCAAAACCGTGCGGTCGCCCGAACCCTCGCAGACTCCCAACACGATGTGATCTCTGCACCGTGTGAAGGCCCCGACCCACGCCGGGACCATGAGGAAGATGCCGGAAAAGAAGAATCCGCCGAGCCTGTCGGCGAGTGTGAGGCGCGTGCCCGTTTGGTCGTCGTTGTCGACGTGGCCGCTCCCCCTCTTCCCTGGGCACTCCTACTGAAGCGATCCGGCCAGACAGAAATCGCACACTGTCGTCATTGATCCCTTCCCCGTCGGTGCCCCTGGAGGACAAGGGGGAGAGGGGGTGGTCCCCCTGTAGACAGGGGGAACTCCCCCCCCCCCCCCGCCTCCCACTGTGGACGAGCGAACCCCCCCCCTCCTCCTGGACCCCCCCACACGGAGGCACCCTCCTCACTCCTATCTGCTGTTGCGGGGTGCTGCATAGCCTCCCTCATGCCCCCAAGAGGCCTCAGATCCGCTCCGAGGCGGTTCCAAGTGACCATGGAGCTTCCCAAGGAGTCCCCCAAGAAGCCCCCAAACAGCGCCGAAGAAGCTCCCAAGAGAGCCCCGAGAGGAGCTCCAGAGCGTCAGCGTCGTCGTCGTCGCCGCCGTCGACGTCGTCGTCCTCCTTCAGGGTCGACGGCACCTGCCATAAGGCCTCCTCACTAAACATGATCATGGCCAACAGGCCCGACCAGCGGTACCAGGAATAATTCAATACACACACGCTTTCTCCCTCACACACGGTGCACAACACGACTGAACGCACCTTCTCTCCTCCCTCCGCCCCGCCTTACTTCACCTCTTGCCGTCATTCCTTCTTCTCTTGCCCCAGTTCTGTTCCCTCCCTCCTTCCCATGCTCGTCCTCGTCCATCTCCTGTATCCCTGCACCTCCCCCTGTTCGTCCTCATACCCTGCACCTCCCTCGCTCCCCCACCACCTTTTTTTCTCCTTCCCTCCCCCTCCTCATCCCCCCATTCCTCCTGCTCCTCCTCCGTCCTCCCTGCCGTGAGCGCGCCCGCGCCTGCGGGAGGAGTAGGAGTCGGAGGCTCGTCCTAGATCTACCCTGGAATGCGTTGCCCAATTTGCGACTCGGCAATGTGGACGATTTCTTCGATGGCGCTTTCAGTTCCCAACGCATTAACAGAACAACAAAACACGCAAACACTGAAACACTAGGTGCTTCATGTTGGCTCAGTCTTATCGCGTGTTCAGGTCTGTTGGTTGTGTTGTTTGAGCATGCCGTCTACGACGTCTTCACTTCCTTCTCCTGGCGTCTACATCTACTGCATTCAGTTTGCCCTTATCAGGCCGTCGCTGCTAGCTTACGTCAGGGGGATTGTGGGTGACAAGTTGAAACTAATCAAACAATGCGCCAAAATGGTCCTAAACTATTCAAAACATCGTCCCCTGACTGTGCTTTGCTTATTTTTGAACATTCCTCCTGTAGAACTTGCCAGCTGGTCGCCGGGCCTCCAGGCCTGCTCCGCGCTGGTGCTGGACCCGTGTTGCGGCGTTGTTGTGTTACTTGGTTCTTGCGCTTTCGGCTCTGCGCGCGAGGCGGGAGGGACGGGAGGCAGCGGGAACGGGAGAGCAGCAGCGAAAGTGGCACTGAAGGCAAGAAGCAGCCTTCGACAAGAACGCAAGACACATTACACACAGTGACGGGCCCCCGAAACGCAAAAACAACACACAGCAAACGCTAAGTCATCGTAGCGCTGCCTTAGCGATCTTGGTCTCTTTCCGAACCCAAGCAGAAACACATGTTGTTTGATTGAGAACAAATCCCACCAACAAATCACGAATGGGCATAGCGCCAACACATCAACACATACCCAGGGTATTTTGAGGTTTCGTCAAACAGGGGGAGGGGGAGGAGGAGGATAGGAAGGAGGAGGAGAAAGCAATAAGGCTGCGGCGAGGCAAGGGAGATAAGGATGCATGGAGCAGGGCGAGGATGCCGTGGCTCTGCACGGAGGGGGAAGCAAAGCAGGCAGCCCGGCAGGAGCCAGCCCAGCCGAGCAGACGGCCACCTCCGCCTGCAGCGCCCCGTGCCAAATCGGAACGCGTTGGCCCCCCAGAAGGCCGAAGGCTGCCCCAACGCCGCCAGTCGTGATCTGTCCAGCGCAACGAATCGAAGTCTGTGGATCGCCTCGCACCGCCGAGACAAGGGCCTTGCTTTGAGTCGGGCCTGTCCCCCTACAGGCCGATGTTGGACGACAAATTAATAAGTGTCCCAACACATATTTCAAAAGATTACGAGATTGTCAAACAAATCGTCCCCAGACTATTTGTTGAAAGTCTTTTCGAAGATCCCTCCTCTAGAGGGACAAGCCCGACTGTCAAGCCTCCCTGGACGGTCCGCCGGCCCTCTGCTTGCTGGCCCCGGGAGACCGCAGGCGCTCGAGGGCATGCTCGCAAAACGCCGCAAGTCTCGAGCAGGGACCGACCGTCCCGGCATTACTATAGGGGGGCTACCACGAGATGCTCTGAGAGCTCCAAATGTTCTAAGAAGACAAACAATTCTCTTAGAACAGGAGCCCGATGTGTTAAAGCAGGACGAGTCTCAGCCAGAGGTGTTCTGAGAACATCATCGTGCAGACCACAAAAAGGTTCTTACAGCATTCATTGGTGGGCCTACAGGCGAGCCAGGACGCAAGACCGAAAGTCCCCAAAAGTCCCCAAGACCGTCCGCCCACCCAGGACCGCCTTGGTCTCGCGCAGCGATGTTGCCACCTGGCAGTTCTGGGGCCTCGCGGCCCCGGCCCTCACCCCACCCCCAGACCCCAAACACGTTGCTAAGATCTGCCGAGACTCCAGGAGCTTCGAGCCGCCCAAAACGTTTGGGGAGACGTCACCTGGCCATCCTTTGTCGATCCACTGGGGCCTGGATTGGTGCGAACGCCCTCCTGGCGCGGCCAAATACCCCCAGATCCGACGTCAGCAAAACGCTGCACCATCCAAAAATATTACGACCAAATCCATGGACCCCATCTGTCCGATATACCCTCCGAGCTGGATGAATCTATGATGGCCCCGGGGCCCGGAACCGCTCAAAATCGCCCAGAGTACCAAAACTGCAACGCCATGATCTCGCGGAGGAGGTTGACACCGGTCCTGGGCCCAGGGCTCGGGGAGGGCTGCCACTTGGCGCCCCCCCCGAGACACCTCGGTCCTCCCTCGAGCCTCGAGTCTCGAGCCTCGCCAGCAACGCTGGGCTGCACAGACCCCGCGCCATGTCTCGGTGCAGGCCGTCTGCGCCCTTAGAAACGCTGTAAACATGAACTTTCGGCGCTCCGCGCGAATTTCTTGGACCTGCGCTGGACCCCCCCCTCCCTGGCGCGCGGAGCGCGCCAAGGGCGGCGCCGGAGGCGCCGCCGGGGAGCCCAAGAGCGGATCCAAGAAATCCGCGCGGAGCGCCAGAAGTTTATGTTGATGGCGGTGTTTCTTCTTCGAGTCTCGGCTTAGGTCGGGCCTTTCCCCCTACAGGCGGGTTTTGGACGAAACAACTTCTTGTTTTTGTTGATCCGCGGGTCGAGAGCGCACCTCTTCCGGTCGAAGCTCAGCGGGCCGCGCACAGCTTTGATTAACAAAGGGGGGGAGGCGTTGGACGAAAAAATGCTCCAAAAATCGTCCCCCGAAAATAACAAAATGTAGTCCAATAGTAATAATAATAATGAAAATAAAAATAATAATAATAATATTAATAATAATAATATTATTAATAATAATACAAATGCTGATAGTAAAAATAATAATAATAATAAATGCTCCAAAAATCGTTCCCCGACTATTTCTATACTATTTTTGAATATCCCTCCTGTAGGGGGACAGGCCCGAGGTAAGTCTCGGCGCAGGCCGTCCGTGCCCTCGACGCGCGCCCCGATCGCGCGGCGAGCCCGCTGCGCAGCCCCGGTTTTGCTGCGCCGGGGGCTCCAGGCGGCTATCTATCGGGGCTGCCGCGGGGGTCCGCGCTGCCGCGCGCGCAGCCAGCATGCATGCAGCCTGGGCGCCGGGAGGATCGAGGATATCGGGGGCCGAGCTTGCCGAGAGGAGAAGGGGGGGGAAGGAGGATCGAGGGTCGAGGGCGGACAGAAGGACAGGGAGGGGGAGGAGGGAGGAGGGAGGAGGAGGAGGAGGGAGGAGGGAGGAGGAGGAGGAGGAGACGGAGGTAGGGGAGGAGGGAGGAGGAGACGGAGGTGGAGGATTTTTTCCCCGTGGGCTTCCGACCACCGTGACTTTCCCCACTTCGGGGGCTTGCAAACAGCCTGCACGTGGCGCTTACAGGCTGCAGCAAGAAAATAGCGCAGTGCCGCCAGAAAAAAGATCCACAATTTGTTGCGGCACGCTGGGGCTCTCACCAAACGGGGATGGCCTCCGAACGCGCCAAAGAGAGATTCACAAATCCTCTGGTCAGCGGAACACGCACACCTACAATGCGTGCGTGCACACTGGGCCGGACGGCACTAATCCGAGTCGTCCGAAGCATTGACTTCAAGTGAGCTTGGGACTGCCTGCGCAGCACCTGCCGCGCGGCACCCGCCGCAGCCTAGCGCCGCGGTGGTCCCTCCGCCTCCGAGGCCCTCTGGTGCCCACTCTTCGAACCCCCTACGTTCGGTGGTCGATGCTTTGAGGCAGGAGGATAGGGCCCGCGCTTTTCAAGATAAAGTTCAACGTTTGTTCGAAAAAACTAGAGCAGTCACGGAAATGTACATCCGCCTGGACCGCCACCCCCCGTCTCTTAGGGTGACGGCCCTGACATATCTGCTGCCACGCCCACACACCAAACTTACCTGGAGGAGGTTCGCACTTGGCGTGGAGCCCGCGCAGACTGCCGTGGGAAGTGTAGCATTTACACCTCATGCAGACAACCAACTCAGCCCCGTCACTGCAGGGAAACATGACACACCTGTGCTCTAATTGATTAAGGCTGGCGACGCTCCACGCTCGCAGTCCCGAACACCGTCCCGGCAGGGGCTTAGTGGAAAATAGCGGGAGGAGGGAGGAGGGAGGAGGGAGGCGGGAGGAGAGAGAAGGGAGGAGGGACGAGGGAGGAGGGAGAAGAGTGGAGGGAGGAGGGAGGAGAGAGGAGGGGGGAGCGGAGAGGAGGGAGGAGGGAGGAGGGAGGAGGGAGGAGGGCGGAGGAAGGAGGGAGGAGGGGGAGGAGAGAGGAGGAGGAGGAAGTAGGAGGAGAAGGAGGAGGAGGAGGAGGAGGTGGAGGAGGAGGAGGAGGAGGAGGAGGCAGGGGAGGAGGAGGAGGAGGAGGAAGAAGGAGGAGGAGGAGGCGGAGGAGCAGGAGGAGGAGGAGGAGGAGGAGGAGGAGGAGGAAGAAAGGGGAAGAAGGAGGAGGAGGAGAGGGGGAGGATAAGACGCTGATGGACGCGGCCGCGCGTCGCACAGGCCGGCACTAAAACATGGGTAGGCCAGATAGGCCCGCCCTCCTGCCATCAAGACGTGCGCCAGCCCACCAAAGGATCACGGCTGCGCACGAGGCACAGAAAACAGCTGGGGCTCGCTTCGTGATTGGCTTCCGTCGGCGGAGACCCCCCGCGTCACCTTAGTGCAGGAGCACCATTTGGCTGATCAAGATTCGATTGGTCGTGCTTCGAAGTTTTGTCTCGATCATGGGTGGAAGAGCCTGTGGGAGCCTGCAGTTCGGACGGCTGAAAAGAGGCACGTCAGGAGGCGTAGCGATCCTTGCCAAGGCCTTCATGGGGCTCCACCAACCTTTGCAGATCTACCTAGGCCGTGCTCTGGGTGCTGTTGCTCATCTCCCAGGGGGTGTTCAGTTTGGGCCCGTCTCTGTCTACGGGTTCGACACGGAGGGCCTCACGGCCAGGCAGTTGGAGCTCTATAAGGCTATAGGCTCCCACGTGGTTCTCGAAGGCCTCTCGTACGTCGCTGGGGGCGACTTCAACCTCGAGCCCCCCGAGCTTCGAGATACGGGTTTTTCTGGAGCTGGCTAGATGCAAACTGATCTCAACTGGTGCGCCCACATGTTTCGGCGCTCGTCAGTCGGTCTACGACTATTTCATCGTTTCTGGAGGCTTGGCCAGAGGTGCGAAGCAATTGCAGCGATGCGGCGATAGTGAGTTCTCGCCGCACTTCGTGGTGGAGCTGGAGTTCTACCCTGCCCTCTGCCGCCTGCAGGCCCTGGGTTTCCGCACGCCCCCCCACCTCTCCCCGTGGATGCCCCTACGGGCGTTGGGCCCCCCGTGGTGACTTCGGAAGGGCCCACCGGTTCCTCGAGTGGGGTGAGAAAGCCTTGAGGTCCCAGGATGCCAGCGAGGTCCAGCGTATTCTGAGCAAGGCCTATCAGATTTGGGCCAACGAGTCTGAGGGAGAGATTTGTCAGAGGCTGGAGGAGGAGCTTCCCTGCCGTGGTTCGAGGGGCAAGGACCCCCAGGTTTGTTGGAAGCCGATCCTTCAGAAAGATGTCAAAGCTAGGCGGTACCCAGAGCTTCGAGCCATGAGGTGGTTTTGTTCTAGGTTCCGTGCTGCTGCCCAGCTTTTACATGCGGTCTGGGCTGGTCAAGCCTCGACCTTCACCAGGCGCACCGTTGGCGAGCTGCTGACGGGCGTGCTCCAGTCTGAGTGGGTCCCTGGTCAGCTGTCCCACCAGGACAACATTTCTCTGTTGCAGGACATCAGGGACTCGCTCAAGGACTGGGATTGTTTCAACCCTCCTCCCCGCGTTGAGCTGGATGCTATGTTGAAAAACTTGGTCTCAGGACGCGCCCCCCCCGCCCCTTGCGTGGGCGAGGGCGGGGGAGGCTCCTCGCATGTTGCCAGGGGCCCCTCTCTGTGCGAAGCGGAGCGGCCTTCTGACCAGCTTGCTGAGAGGCTAGCCAGGCTGGAGGCCCTTCTCGCGCGCCAGGAGGAGGTTCTTGCTGCTTGCACGAAGCACTACCAGCGGACGGCTGGTCAGGACTGGCATGCTTGGTTGACGGATAAACTTAGTCAGGGAGCCCGCAATGCCCATTGTGCGATTAAAGACCCCCTGTGCTGGAAGCCCACCACGACCCTCTCGTCGGAGGGTCAGGTCGCGTCGGATCCCCAACAGTTGCTTGACGCTGAGGTCAAAACGTTCTCGGGCCTCTGGCAGGTCCGTGTTTCGCACCCGAAGCTCAGGTGCAGAATATCTGGGCCCCTTCCCCCCCTGGATGTGGAGTACTTTCGGAAGCTGAGCAGGAAGTATCCTAAGAGGAGCGCCGTGTCCTACGGCGGTTTTCACTTGAGGCATTTTCAGCACCTCAGTGGTGCCAGCCAGCTTGGAGGTGCTCAGCTTGCTCCTCTCGCTTGCTGAGCGCTCGGGCATTCTTCCGACCCAGCTCTCGGCTGCGCTGGTGGCCTTGTTGGCCAAGGAAAATGGGTGGTGTTCGGCCGATCGGCATATTCCCCTCGGTGCACCGCCTCTGGGGGCGGGCCCGCAGGCCCCTGGCTGAGGCCTGGGAAACGCGTTTTTCCAGAGACTACTGGGCCGCAGGACGGCACAGAGGGGCTATGGATTGTGTGTGGCGCCAAGCCCTTAGGTCGGAAGCTGGTGTCAAACGAGGTGCCTGCTCAGCCACAGTTCTGCGGGACATGTATAAGTACTATGAGCTGATCGGCATCGAGGCCTTGGAACTTAGAGGCCGCAGGCGTAAGTTTCCTCTGGGAGTCCTGCATATGTGTCTGGCGGCATATAAGTCGGCACGATACATCTGCCTCTCTGGCATCACCTCTGGCCCTCTGAGGGCCACCCATGGCATTATCGCGGGCTGCAGCATGACCACTACCCTCATTCGTGTCCATGCCCTCGACGCCTTCGACACCGTTCCTCGTTCGCTCAGCCTGCGCCGCATCGATCGGGAGTCCTCGGAGTTTTCCTCCTTCGACGCCTACGTCGATGACACTAGCATCTCGGCGATCGGTTCCAGGTCCTTCGTTAGAACTACCATCCTGAACATGGCCCCCCTGCTGCTGGCGGATATCAGGCAGATGTTAGGCGGCCGTGTCGCTCTCGACAAGGTTGCCCTTGTGTGTTCCTGTGGTGCCTTGGGCCAGCAGCTGGAGGCTGATCTTGGCCCCTTCGGCGCACTGGACACCTCCGCCATCAACCTCGGCTGCGACGACGCGGCTGGGAAGTGTTTCAGGACGGGCAAAGGGAGGATGAGGAAACGCCAAGAGAGGAAGGTCAAGATGCAGCGCAAGGCTTTTCGTTTGAAGCGGTTTCGTTCTCACTTTGGGAGGAAAGCTATCAAGGTGTTCTCTGCAGGCCCTTTGCCTGGATACATTTATGTCTGTGAAGTCCAGGGCCTCACGGACGGTGAGGTGCACAGTCTTCGGCGTGTGGCCGCCAGCCCCATCAAGCCAGACGCCGCTCGCAGATCGCTGACGGTGCTGTCGCTCATTGAAGGGGGCCCTGTTTGGCACGGCCCGGTTGCTCCAGTGCTGCGCTACATCAAAGAGGCCTGGCTTCTCAGGACCAGCGCTTTTCCAGGTACCCTGGGCCGGGCTACTATTCGGGCTTCCTGGGAAAGCGTTTTTTTTCGCAGTCGTCAGCAATCTGTCTCTTGGAGGAGCGTCTCGGGACAGATTAGTGCCATGTTCATGAGTCTCAGGGGGATTGGATGGGATATGAAGAACATGGTAGTTTTCACAGATGATATTGGGCGAGAGCTCTCCTGTACGCAACTCTCGCCAGCGCTTTTCAAGGTTCTGCTACGCCGGGCTGTGCTGCGCCAGTTCGAGAGAGCGGCCTGCGGCAAGCTGGTGGATGGCGATCTCTTTTGTGGCGTCGGAGTTCCTCCGCCAGAGCCTGTCCAAGGCCTAGATGAGCCTGCTGCCGTGGAGTTGGCCCCCGATCGGAAGCCCCCCGACCTCGAAGGATCGAATCGCCTGTGCTTCGATGTCGTCATGGCTGGTCTCCGCTCGAAAAAGCCCTCGGCCTGGGAAAAAGGCTCCGTTCGTGCCCTCACCTGCAATGCCTTGTGGACCAACTCCCGTGCACTAAGGTATGGCTACCAAGTGTGCCCTCTGTGCCCGCTGTGTCATGCTAAGGTGGACTCTGTCTTTCATAGACTATGGGAGTGTGAAGCATGCAAGGAGGAACGGAAGGAGCTTCGGGATGAGGAGGTTATCTCTTGGGCCAGAGACGCGTGTGACCAGAACTCTGGGGACCTTGTGAACTTCTTGACGGGTGCCTTTTGCGCATCCTGGCGACTATGTGCCGCAACCAGTCAGCCAGCAGGACTCGGACGCTGTCAAGATGGAGTTCTTCCAGGAAGGTTTCCAGGATTCAGGCTTGGAGTTCCAGGGGCCCGAGAATATCCGCTTTGAAGGCAGTCTGTTCCTGGGCGGCAGTTGTTTTCAGTCTAAGATTCGTGAATTGTCCAGAGCTGGCTGGGCTTTTGTGCTTGTGTCTGATCAGGGCCATCTCTTGGCCAGAGTGTTAGGGCCTGTCTGTTCTCACTTGCCGCAGTCTTCTCAGGCTGGTGAGTTCACGGCTCTGGCTGCTGCTGGTGTCAATGTAGATGGGCCCGCGACTCTTTTCTCTGATTGTGCGTCGGTTGTTTCAGTGTGTTCCAAGGCGCCTCGGGACCGCCTGGGGGGGCATAGGGCCTACGCGGGCTCGGTCCTGGAAGCCTTCGCGCGTGCTGGTCCCCTCCTCCAGGGCCTGGTCAAAGTCGCCGCGCACAAAGCTGTTGATGAAGAAGGAATCTCTGCTCAGGAGGCTTGGCAGAGGACGGGTAACTTTCATGCCGACCTCGCGGCAAAGCGGGGCGCAAATGTCCATCCCCAAGCCAACCCTGACGTTCTGTCTCGCGTCGAGCGTGGGATCAGGATTTCGAAGGCTGTCATCCTCTTGGCAGCCAAGCTTTTACCGCGCTGGCCGCGGCTCGATTTATCTGGCGTTCAATTCATCAAGCCCCAGGCCCCACCCGCTCAGACGTCGAAGACGCCCCACGAGTGGTGTTGGTCTGGGGAGTTTTGGCAGTGCGGCACGTGTCTGAGAGGCAAGCGAGGTCAGGCGCGCCCAGCGCCTGGCCACTGTGTAGTGCCTCCCCGCCTGTGCCCGGGCCTCCTTGAGCAGTTCAATCATCTTTGTGCGTTGCTGGACTGCACGGACGGCTCTTTCCTCTGTATCTGCCGTCGGCGCAGCTTTTACAGCACAGGCGGCCGTGTCAAGAAACTGGGTGAACCTTGCTCCTGTAAGAAGACAGGGGCAGGACTTGCAGACACCCACAGCAGATCAAGAGGGAGAAAAACGTACAGTTTTTGCCCTCTCCCTGGATTGTGCTGTGAGGAGAGGTGGTCCCCACTCGTTGGGGGTCAAACAGAGGTCGAGCGTTTTAAAATCCTCCTCCGCCTCCTCCCCCTCCCCCTCCCCCTCCCTCCCCTGGTGACTGCCCCGCCCGATCCTCAGCCCAGCTGGCCCGCCCGAGCAGGGAGGCGGCCGCCTGCGCCGCCCGCGCGCAGGCCGCGGCCCGCTGGCGCAGCGCCGCCGGCTAGTCGGCGAGCTGCGCCGCCGGGAGCGCTCACACGGCGTACAGCTCCGGCAGCTCCTGGCGCGCCGCCAGGCCCGACCTCTTCCCTCCTCCTCCTCCTCCTCCTCCTCCTCCTCCTCCTCCTCCTCCTCCTCCTCCCTCCTCCTCCTCCTCCTCCTCCTCCTCCTCCTAGGTACTCCTATTCCTACACTTCCCCCTGTTCCTCTCCTCCTCCTGCTCCTGCTCCTGCTTCTCCTCCTCCTCCTCCTCCTCCTCCTCCTCCTCCTCCTCCTCCTCCTCCTCCTCCCTCCTCCTCCTCCTCCTCCTCCTCCTCCTCCTCCTCCTCCTCCTCCTAGGTACTCCTATTCCTACACTTCCACCTGTTCCTCTCCTCCTCCTGCTCCTGCTCCTGCTCCTCCTCCTCCTCCTCCTCCTCCTCCTCCTCGTCCCCCTCCTCCTACTCCGCCTCCGGGCGATGGACGGGGGCGATGGATTCGGCCCTGGGAGGGCACGGTGAAGACGCAACCCCAACCCGGAAAGTGAGTGTGATGCCCGATGTTCTCCATGCGGGTTCTCCCCAGACGTCCCGACACTTTCCCCACCAATGCCAGCTTGTCCTCCCGAGTGTTCTTTTGTTGCCAGTGCCGGGGCCAAGCGAGCCCGCCAAGAGCCTCCCGCCGTGGTTGTCGTTTACGATGCGACCCTGTCTGGGCGGATCCTTCCGCAAAGACTCGGGGCCTTCTGGGGCTAGAGGCCTCCGAGATGGGGTTCGATTAGATGGGGTCGAACGATCGCGCCGCATCGCCAATGCATCGCCGATGCATCGGTGATGCGTCGGTGATGCATCGGCACGTCGGCATCAGCATGGGCTCCACATCGAGCCGCAGCGCCGATGCATCGGCGATGCGGAGCGATCCTTCGACCCCACCTCCTCTGGGGAAACAAAAAAGGTACCGATCATCTCCCGGGGGGCGTTCTGGCAAGGATTCCGAGGCGAATCCAGCGGTGGCGACGAGGGCCTCCCAGGAGGCCCCAGGAAGGGGGGAGACGACGGAAAGGTCTAGCGGTCTGGGCACCTTGTCCTCCTCCGAGGCGCGGGCCCCGTTTGGAAGGCCTGGGAGTGGCCGCGCAGGGAGGGCGCCGCGCGGGCCCCGCCCACCAGATGGGGGGCCTGCTTTCCACCACCACCACCACCACCACCACCATACATAGGAGGGGGAGGCGGTTCTCCTCCTCCTCCTCCTCCTCCTCCTCTTCCTCCTCTTCGTCCTCCTCCTCCTCCTCCTCGTCCTCCACCTCTCCTTCCCCCCTCCAGGAGGGGGAGCTAGTCTGGCACCGTTAGCCTGGTACGTTAGTCTGGTACCGCTGGCCTGGCACCGCCAGCCTGGCACCGCGAGTCTGGCACCGTTGGTCTTGCACATTCGTTTGGTACATGAATCTGGTACCGCGAATCTTGCACATTCGTTTGGTACATGAATCTGGCACCGCGAATCGTTGCCTGGCACCGCTCGTCTGGTACACTAGTCTGGTACATTAGCCTGGTGCCGCTAGTCTGGTACCGCGAATCAGGTACGTCAATCTGGTACATGTGTCTGGTACGTCTAGTCTGGTACCCCGCGAATCTGGCGAATTAATCTGGTACATTAGTCTGGTACCGCTAATCTGGTACGGTAGGCTTGTACCGCCAATCTGGTGCTGCTAGCCTGGTACCGCTAGTCTGGTAGCGCTAATCTGGTACGTTAGTCTGGTACATTAACCTGGTATATTCGTCTGGTACGTTAATCTGGTACACTAGTCTAATATATTAGCCTGGTACCGCTAGTGTGGTACCGAAAATCTGGTACATTAGTCTGGCACTGTTCGTCTGGTACGTTAGTCTGGTATCGCTAGCCTGGCACCGCCAGTCTGGCACCGCTAGTCTGGCACCGTTCGTCTGGTACGTTAGTCTGGTACATTCGTCTGGTACGTTAGTCTGGTACATTAGTCTGTTACCGCTAGTCTGGCACATTAATCTGGTACAGTAGTCTGGTACATCAGTCTGGTGCATTAGTCTGGTACATTAACCTGGTACATTAGTCTGGTACTACGCTTACGGTGAAGAGCCCACCGTTTACGGTCAAGACTTCCCGTTGTCCGCGGGTAGAGCAAATCCGCGCCATGGGAAGAGAAGAGAGGGAAGGATAGGATGTCAGGTGAGGCGCGAGCGCAACTAGCTTGTCCTTCTCCCTCCCCCTCCTCCTCCTACCTCTCCTCCTCTGCACTCTCTCGCCGCTCGCCTGCCACATCCCATCTCCCTCCATCTTCCTCCCTCCTTCCACTCCTCGACCTCATCCTCCCTCCTCCTGCCCCCTCCTCATCCCTCCTCTCTCGACTTCTTTCGCCATCGTCCTCACAGCTCCCCCCCTCTGGCAGCGAGCCCTCCTTGGCCCCGGAGGCGCCCTGCAGCAGTCTGGCGGGGTCGGGGTCCTTCCCGCCGCTCGGCGGGCCGGGAAGGAACACCCGCAGCAGCGCCCAGCGCTCGAGCCAGCGGTTCACCTGAGCGCCACATGCGCGCGCAAGCGCTGGCCACTCTCATAGGGAACCGAGCTCTATACACCGAAGCTTTTACCAGCTCCGCACCGAAACTCGCACATGAAAGCGGATCCTGGTGTATACGGGATACTGGTGCATACATTTGTCGCTGTTTCTATTGGAAAATGCGGAAGCCCGTATACACAACACGACCCCGACGTCGTCCCCGACCCTCGAAAGTCCATGGGATTGAAACACAGCCCGCCACCGGTAATGCATATGTTCCAAATTCCGATCTCAATGGCTGAGGGGCTACCTGGGAGGTCCTCGCAAAAATTGGCGACTGAGCCAGACAAGGAGGCCCTTGAGCCCGATTAGCCCAGACTGAGCCCAAGGCTGGTCTTGATTAAGCCGGGCACAACTGGAGTGAACCGGGTTCTGACGGAATGAGGTCGGGTCCCGACTTCCGCCGGCGCTAAAAGTAACCTCCCATAATCTGCATATTCAAAATCGACAGAATCACGAAGGAAACTTTCGGGACCACTTCTGGCGGCCCCTGGAAGGGGGGGTCCTTGCCGTGCCCCGAGGCCCGTCAGAAAACGGCCCAAGATGAAAAGGGCGGGTCCTGGGGAAGGAGACCACACCTCGGAGGGCCCATGTTGTGACACAAGTAGGGAGCCGAACTTTTTTCACCAACGCTTTTCCAGCCCTGCACCGACATGTGCACAGGTAAGCGGATCATGGCGTTTAGGGGATCCTGGCGTATACATGCTTGGTTACGAAACCATAAGTATACACCACACCACCCTGACGTCGCCCCCGACCCCCCAAAAGTCCTGGGATCGAAAGACAGCCCGCCACTGGTGATGTATATGTCCACTTTAGATGCCTCCTAGATGGGGTCCGCACAGTTGGAGTCGGAGGGTCTCGCCGAATCGCCGATACATCGGCAACGCATCGCCGATGCATCGGCAATGCCTCGGCCATGCACTGGCGACGTCGGCGATGCATCGGCAACGTCGGCGTGGAGAAAATTCGGCCCCACATCGAGCCGCATCGCCGATGCATCGCGGATGCATCGCGGATGCACCGCCGATGCCTCGGAGATGCGGCGCGACCCTCCGACCCCATCTGTTCCGACCCCATCTGGGAGGCCTCGAGAAAGGGGGTTGGCGGCGCGCAGAGGGGAGTGGGGGGAGGGGGGAAGGCTTCTTAGAAGCACCCCTGCTTCTTAGAAGGCGCGGGCCTTCTCTGTAGATGTAAGGCCGGCGCCTTCTAAGAAGAAGCCTCCTTCTAAGAAGCCTTCCCCCCTCCCCCTACCCCCCTCTGCTCGCCGCCAAGGGGGGTCATAGTTCTAGGCATGACTCCTGCGAGCGGCGACTGCAGGCCGCACAAGCCATGCGCCGCTCCTGGCGTGCAACGCTGCGGCCAGGCCGGCCGAGCGCGCCGCGGCGGCGGCGGCCCTGGCGGCGTGCTGTGCCGTGCAGGCCGGTGGCGGGTCGCTCTGTTCCGCGGGGTGGAGCGCCGGGGAAGTCTCGGCCGCGGGCGCGTGGGAGGTGGCAAGCGGGTAACGTCAGGTCCGGCGCGTCCCACGTCTGGCAGAGCTTCGACGAACAATCCTGTGAAAGGTCAAGGACAAACCGACGTGGTCAACAAATGATCAAAAACAGTAGGCGATGGCCCACACAAAAATTGAAAGCATGTGTTTTGACTATTTTTGGAAAATCCTCCGGTAGAGGGACATGCCCAACTTCAGGTTCGCGCGGCGCGCCGCGGCGAGGTGGGCCACAGCGGGCAGCGCAACACGCTGAGCAAACGCTCCCGACCGCATGCAGCTGGAGCCCGCGGGGACGGTGCTCGCTCAAGCGCGCAGGCAAGATGCCCGAGCATGGCCACAGATCTGTCGCGCAGGTTTTCCTTGTAAATCAGAGGGTGGGAGCCCTGGGAAGGGGCACTTCAATGTAAAAATACAAGGTGCACCTGAGGGGGGATCAAGAACACATACGCTTTAGACATGGACGCTCGACAACAAACATCCGCACCGCGCCCCCTCCCCTTCCAGCAACTCTCCCGGGGACAGTGACTGTCCGCTCGGCACCCCTCACGCTGACGATGGCCCCAGGAGGCCTGCTCATCTCACTCTCTCTCCCCTCCCCCTCCTCCTCCTCCTCCTCCTCCTCCTCCTCCTCCTCCTCCTCCTCCTCCTCCTCTTCCTCCTCCTCCTCATCATCATTCCCATCCCCATCCTCAACCTTCTCCTTTTCCGTCTCCTCGACCTCCTGCCCAACACCCCGCTGCCATTGTCCATTGCTGCCCGCTGCGTGCGAGGTCGGCGGCACCGGCCGCAAGGGACGAGGAGGGGGAGCTGCTCCCACCTCCCCCTTGGGTACTTCGGGCAATGCAGGCGCAGGCGGGGCGAACGCGCTCAGCGTGATGCGTTTTCCATCCAGTAGCCTGGCGGCCGCGTGCATGCCCGCGCGGTCGACCTGCAGCTCCTGCGAACGCGGAACGACTTGGAGAGACGCGGGGAGGGAAGCACCGCGAGCTCGCCAGAAGGACAGAGAACGCGACGGCGCGGCCCGCCGCCTCCCGTGTGGTGCGCCGCCAACGCGGCGGCCACCGTGGTCAGACCGCCGTGCCGCGCCCAGCACCATCGGGGATGGACAGACCCCCGTTTAGCAAAACGTGGTTTAATGAAAACGACCTGAATCCCAAACCTGGCGGGCGCAAACCTGGAAAACAACGGCCACGGCGCCCTCTCGAGAACCGGAAACGGACAATTCACGAATCGACGTGTCACTGTTGGGGGTTCTGTCCGCCCCCGACACTATCACAAGCCACCCATGCCCGGGACGCCTCCCCGCGCGCCCGCCCGCCGCACGCACCGCCCGGCTCCGCAAAACCGGGGGCACCCAGCAAGTGTGTCGACGCCTCCTCCGTGGGGGGGGGCCTCTGGTGGCGACGCCTGGAAGCCTCCCGTGCCATCTCGTCGGCTCCTGCGAACCGACGCCAATCGCCGCTAGTCGACGCTGAGGCGACGCAGACCGACGCCAGCCGGCGCCGAATCGGCGCAGTCTCATCGCCTCCCAGACGCTAAATCGACGCTGACATGTCTCTGGCAAAAACCGCCGCCGTCTTACTGCCGCAGGCGTGCCGCGAAAGGAATTTCACACAAAGGGTTTTGGCACCACCAACGATGCAACGCATGTGCACACATGCCACTTGATCCCCGGCGATCCGAACCAGGGTTGACGCACGGCCGTGCTCTAGGATGCAATTGACATGTATGGTGCGGCGAGGCTGTCGGCGGCGACTAGATCCCAATATCCGCGACCAACAAACATTCCATGGTGTTTTGGCACACCCAAACCGCCGTGCAACGTCAGTTTGTTCATCCGTTGACAGCAGCACGCGTCGCGGCAGCAGAACGCAGTAGCGCGCGCAGGCGCGCAGGGCCGGCGATGCGACTGGCCAGCTGCCGCCGCGACTTCGGCAGAAGAGCCGAAATCCACGTAGGATCGTTTTGGGCGTGGTATCCGGCGCAGCTGCATGGCACTGTCAGGCGCCGCGGCCTTGCGATTGTAGCGCCAGGCCCCGCGCGCTCCTCGAGGCGGGAAAAGCAAGCTCTACACAAAGGAATCGCGCGTGCTCTTGTGGGGGCGGCGAAAACGATCGTACACAAACGAGATTCGGAATCGATTCCTTTGTGTGCCCCCCGCGTTGGCAGTGTAGCCAGACCGCACACAAAGGAATTACACGAGACTTCGTGTCACACAAAGGAATTACAGCAACGCCCTTTGGTTTGCGCTCTTCGCGCGCGGTGACAGCTCCGAGCTGGAAAGGAAGGGGGGGCGGGACAAGACAAAGCAGGGGAAGAGGAAAAAGAAACGGAGGGCGAGAAAGAAGCGAAGGAAGCAACGGAAGGAAGCCCGGATGCGCGCAAGCGAAGCTAACACTGCGCGCCGAGACAGCTGTTCGTTCGTTCGGTTGGCCGTGAGGCAGATGAATAGAAAAAAATGTTTGCTGCCTATCGAAAGGACTTCTTGGGAATGAGAGTCGGGTTCTCTTCCGAACCCCCTATCCCACACCCCGTTGCGAGCGCGCGACGATTTATTCTGGCCCGCGGGCAGAGGACTGCCAGTTGCTGGTGAGCGGCCTTTCCACCCGTCATGCGTTCCGCACACGTGCGACCAGCTAAACGCACTTGCCACGCAAACCGCCAGCTCCAAACACCGACGCCACCCCGATCCCCGCATCCGTGCCAGGCACCCTCTCAACGACGCGCCCCTCCGGCGTAAAACCAAATAAAACCGTTTGTGTTTATGTATTGTTTCCTGTTCTGAAGCTACCCCGCCGAGGCCGAGGCCGCTCGGGATTCTTGTTCGTCGCCGGCGAGGCAAGGGCAGTCCACTCCGGCGTGCGGCTATTCGAGGCAACCGGAAGGCGACTTGTCCGGCGTGCAAGGGGGAGGAAAAGGACGAGGGCTGCCGCGCGGGGGGGGGGGGGGGGGCGAGGCCGCGCCGAACAGGCGAGGCCCGTTTTCTTCTGGGACGTCCCAGGTCGATTTAGGTCGGGCATGTCCCCCTTCAGGCGCATCTAGCGCGAAAAATAAACAATGACCAAAGAATACGCCCCCCCAAACAGAAATTAGTCGACGCATCCTCCCCAGACAATTTCTGGACAATCTCTGAATTTGCCTCCTGTAAGGGGACAGGCCCGACTGAAAGGCAGATGCGGCGATCGTTCGGGCGGCACGTCCCAGGCATGCACGGCCCTCGTACTGCAAGACGGGGCGCCGAACGAAGAACGGCGGGTCTCGGCTGCGAGCCGGGCTGGTCGACCCGGGCTTCAGGGAGCGGCCTGCAAGTCCGGGCCCCCTCCTGAGCCCAAAGGGGTCTTCGGCGAAGCTTGGCAGCGAGCGAGGGGGGGAAGCGAGAATAGACGAGCGCGTTCCACTACTCGCAAAAAAACAACTCGCGAATGGCCTGGATCCCCCGCGGAGGGTCTACGATAAATTACGGCAAAGCGGACACGTGTTTTTCAGACGTTTGCGAGCAGGCACTCTGCGAGTAGTGGAACGCGCTCGGCGAGAGAAGGGGCGGGCCTCCGCAGAAGGCTCGGACGTCCCCCGGCCTTCTGAGTCCTTCTGCGTCTTCCCCGCAGGCACAAAACAAAAAACTTCTCGGACGGCGCGGGGGCTTCGGAGAAGTCCCGCCGCCTTCCGAGAAGGCCCTTCTCCTCGTCTCCCCCCCCTGTCGCTCGCCGACGATCAGCCTGCTGACTGCAGTTCCGGGTGCTCTTTTTGTCTGGGGTGCGCACGTGGACGGGCCTCAGGGCCGGACGTCACCCTCGCTGCGGCCTTTGGGGGGGGAGGGGGCAGAAGCGCCTGATTTGAGCAGGGACCGACCGTCCCAGCATTCCTATAGGACTACCACGGCATGTTCTTAGAGCCCAAACATGTTCCAATAACAGAAGCAAGGTGCTTAAAACATAATAAAGATGCGTTAAAACAAGACAGTCCCAGCCAGAAATGTTCGAATGACATTTCGTGTCCCTCGCGCTCCATCATTCTTCACGGAAGTCGGGCGTGTCCCCCATACAGGCGGATTTTGGACGAATAATTTCAAATCGCCAGAACATACAGTCGGACTTGATTGGAAAGGACACGCGAGAGGACACAAGACCCTTCCGAGGGCCACGTTGCCACAGAAATGCAGGAGGCATGGGTCGCAAGACGCAGGACACGAGGGTACCCTTGATCTGGCATGGTTGAATCCGGGCCGCCTGTATTCAACAATAGCAGAAAAAAGCTAAAACATCGTTCCCATACTATTTGCTTTGTCTATTCGTGAATTTTCCCCCTGTACAGGGACGTGCCCGAGCTAAAATCCTTCACTCGTTGGCCTTCGGCGGCGGGCTACCCCGGGAGGCTCGGGAGAGTCCCCCCCCCCCCCGGCCTCCCGAGAAGTGCTCCAAAGTTCCCCGAAGCCACATCAAACAGCAGCTTTGTACATGGACTCGCCATACATGCTCCATACATTTAAAACATTTGAAACAACCGCTGAATACATACAACTATATATACATATCGATATATGTATCCATACACAGCAGGGGCACAAACTTATTTCGTGGGCTAAGTGTGGAACAATGCAATAAGTTTATTGTTGCGTTTGCCATACACGAAACATTTTAGAAACAAAAAACATGCACGACTAACCAAACAACATACAAACAACAAAACAACAAAACAAACAACTTCTCGGGCGGTGCACCCACCGTGGCCGCCGGCCACACCCAGCAGCCCGCCGCGCAGGCCGCCTGTGGTGCTCCCGCGCGAGCTTCGAAGGGCGCGTTGCTCTGCCCGCCGAAGCGCGTCCGCGAGGACCAGCCGCAGCCCATTCTCTTCCGTCGTCGACCCGCTCCCAGGCCAGTGGACCGGAGCGGACAACTTGTCGATGGGTTCTTGAGCCACCATGGATACGGACCGTAACGATGGCGGCCGATTTCACGAAGAGCTGATGGAAGACGTTATGAAAACTGAGCTGTCCGCATCCTCATCCTCATCCTCATCCCTGTCGTCATGATCGCCACGATCATCATCGCTGGCCGTCTATCCTCTCGGCGGGTGCAAGTCCACACGGAGTAAACCTATACGGAGCGCTGCGTCTCCGTCTGGTCTAACACAACGTCTGGATTCAGCCCCTCCTGATAAGATCCACCAGCAAAAAGACAACACATCCTTCGGGAGGCTAGGGCTCCCAACTTCGCGCTTCGCGCTACGCGAAGCGCGAAGCGCGAATAACTTCGCGCTCTCGCGCCGCCCTCCCAAAGGGAGAATAGGAGGACGAGGAGGAGGGGGAGAAGGAACGAGGACCGCGAAGCGCGAATAACTTCGCGCCCTCGAGGGAGCCCTTGGGGAGGGGACCTAAGTTGGGAGGGGGAAGATTTATTAGGGATAAAGGGCCCTGTTCTGCAGATGTATCGAACCACGCCGCCCAGATCTGTTCTCCCTACATGCAAAGACGGGGGCCTCAGTGAGGCCACGTCTTCGCTGTGTTATTCGGGTTAGGGATTCGTATTCTTCTCGATGATGATAGGACGCCGAGTCCACACGGACTAAGTCCATGCGGAATGCTGGTTCTCCGTCGGGGCCCGCCTCTCCTGCATCCTCGCCCTCCTCGCGCCCTCCTCCCGTGCCCCGCGAGGGCTACACTATGGGCTCGACCACCAGAAACCTTCCACAAGAAACCCGACCCCGAGACCCCAGGACGTCCATGGATCTTGGTGTGTGGGCGCGCCACGTGCTCCATCGCAACACCACCGTCGAAACGGGAGGAGGAGGAGGAGGAGGATTCGATTCGATTCGCACACCTTCGGCGCCAACCTTGTTTCAGTCATAGTGAGTGATTACATACTCGAGCTATTGTTCAAAATCGCGCAATCGCCAATCGTGATATTTCGCACAACTGCGAATGGCTACTGGCACGGTGAACCTCTAGCTTTAAGAGGAGAGTGCATATGCCATGCTCTATGCACCTAGGGCCGTGGCTGAGGTCCCGAGAGAGACCAGCCTGGCCCCATGCAGCCACCGACGCATGAGGTAGGAAGAGGCTCGGCCCAAGGCTCCTCCTCTCGTGTAGCTGCTGCTCCTCCTCCTCCTCCTCCTCCTCCTCCTCCTCCTCCTCCTCCTCCTCCCCCTGTTCCTCCTCTTCCTTCTCCTCCTCCTCCTCCTCCTGTTCCTCCTCTTCTTCCTCCTCCTCTTCCTCCTCCTCCTCCTGGAGGCACCCCTGGAGGCAAGCGGGGCGCCTCTCGGCAGGGGCCTCCGCTGTACACATCCCCCCCCCATAGCCCTGCCGCCCGCAGGCTCGCCTCGCGGCCGGGCACGTGCAGGTCGGCGCAGCCCAGGCTCGCGGGGTCGAACGTGCCTGCGCCCGCTCGGGCGTGTACTGAATGGGGTTAAGTCGGGCGTGTCCCCCCACAGGGGGATTTTCGACAAAACCTAAAAAAACTCAAAAAATACTCCAGAATGGTCAAACAAACTCACTAAAATAGTCCCCACACTATTGCTATATTATGTTTGAAGAATCCCCCTGTAAAGGGACAGGCCCGACTTAAGAATGGGGGGCGATCAACGGGGGGGGAGGAATTAAAAAAGGCACCGCTGGTGCCCCTTTTTGGGGCCCCAGGGGGCTCATGTCGGGCCCCTTCCGGGTACAAAAAGGTGCACCTGCCCTCACGCCCCCATGAATCGCACCCCCATTACCAGACGCCCGTCGCCCAAGGGGGGGATAAACAGGCGGAGGTGGAGAAGGACGATGAAGAGGAGGAGAAGGAGGAGGAGGAGGGGGAGGCTGAGGAGGAGGAAGACGAAGGAGAAAAACAAGGAGGAACACCAGCAGGACCAGGAGGGGGAGAAGTGGGAGGAGCAGGATGAACAGTGGAAGGCGGGGGAGGGGGACAGGAGTGGGGAAACAACGACGGAAGAAGCACTCCGATCATGAGAAGTCGCCCGCGCTGGAGTGAGAGCGCGATTATGAACGATGGCCGCAAAGCGTCGGTCCTGAAAGGAGGGCCAACGCTGCAGCGGGATCGCAGGAAATACCTTAGAGTGAAATGGCACAGGCTATATCAGCTTTCAAACAAATAAGCAAACACAATGCGCAGACGTGGGGGCAGGCCACTCCCCGGCCACCTTCGGGGAAGCGAGGAGAGTAGCTAGAGTGAGGCAGTGGGGGGAGGCATGGGAGGGGGAGACCCAGGAGGCTTCCTCCTCCAACTCCTCCCCCCTCCTCCCCGTCCTGCTCCTGCACCCTGCTCATCCTCCTTCTCCTCCTCCTCCAAGTCCTCCTCTTCCTCCTCCTCCTCCTCCTCCTCCTCCTCATCCTCATCATCATTATCGACATCGACATCATCATTACCATCACCATCACCATCATCATCATCATCATCATCATCATCATCATCATCATCATCAGCATATGAGTCAACAGCCTCATTATTAGCAGATGAATCAGCATCCTCATTATCAGCATCGTCATTAACAGCATCATAATCAGAATCATTCGCGTAAGCATCATCCTCATTCACATCACAAGTATCACTATTGGTATTCGCATCATGCAAAGCATCATGACCACCAGCATCAGCATCGTGATTGTCGTCGTCGTCAGCATCAACATCATCATCATCATCATCATCCTCATCAGCATCATCACCACCACAACCATCATCATCGGCATCATCATTACCATAATCATCATCATACGCATCATCATCAGCATCACCATCATGAGCATCATCCTCAGCATCACCATATCATCAGCATAAACATCATCATCATCAGCATCATCACCATTATCATGAGCGTCAGCATCAACATCAATGCGTCGTCGCCCTTATCATCACCACGAGCATTATCATCAACACAATCAACATCACCATCATCATCATCATCATCATCACCAACATCATCATACTCATCAGCATCGCCATCATTATCATCAGCACCGTCAACTTCACCATCATTAGCATCATTATAAGCACCGACAAGAAAACATCACCATCATCATCATCATCATCATCATCATCATCATCATCATCATCACCGTCATCATCATCACCAACATCAGCATCATAGTAATCAGCAACATCATCACCTTCAATATCATCATGATCATCAACAGCCTCACCATGACCATCCGCATCATCATGATGTCCACCATCAGCATCAGCATCATCAACACCCCCATCATCACACGCATGACCATCATAATCATAATCACCGTCAACATCATCATCATTACCATAATCATCATCAGCGCTATCATTATCTCGGAAAACATCCTCACCATCACCGCCATAATTAATCCTACTCATCCTCCTTCTGCTCCTCCTGATCCTCATCATGATCCTCATCCTCCTCGCTCCCGCTTCCCCCGCTCGCGCTCGAATGCGCGGAGGGGGTAGGGGAGGTAGAGAGGAGGAAGGAGGGGAACGAGGGACGAGGGGGAGGGCTGGAAGTTGCATGAAGGCGGGAATCGAGGGGAGAGGTTAGGGAAGAAGACGGAAAGGAGTTGAGGAGAGCGGGAAGCTGGAAAGAAAAGGGCGGAATGGAAGATAAATGAGAGCGTGCATGAAGGAATGGCGGATGGCTGGGATGAGGGGGGAGGAGGGAGGAGGCATGAGGATGAGCATGAGGATGAGGAGGATGAGGAGGACGAGGAGGATGAGGAGACAACAAAAAGAGCAAGAGGAGAAGGAGGAGGACAGGGCATAGTAGAGGAAAAAGGGCGGGGAGGGCAGTATGCGGAAAGGAGGGCCAGGAACAGGAGGGAGCAGGAGGAGTAGGAGGACCCCTCTCCTCCCCCCTCCTCCCTCCTCAATCCCCCCGCCTCCCGCCCCTGGCGGGGTGCCTCGGTGTGTGGACGGCCCGCCAGGGCCCCAGGGGTCCCCAAAATCCGCTCAAGAGCGGCCTGCGCGGGGGCTGCGCCGCGGGGCGTGGCGTGCTCGGGGACCTGGGGCCGGTCGCGGGCGGACGTCTCCTGAGAGGCACCCGTCCTCGGGCTGGGGCAAGGGTTCTCCCGGCTTCGCTGGCCTGCCCGGCAGACCCGCCTGCGCCGGGGTGGGTTGGCGGCGCGCGCAAGGGGGTGCAGGGAGGGGGGAGGGCTTCTCAGAAGCAGGGGTGCTTCGTGGAAGGCGCCGGCTTTGCATCTACAGACAGGGCCCGCGCCTTCTAAGAAGCGGGGGTGCTTCTAAGAAGCCCTCCCCCCCTTCCCCCCAACCCCCTCTGCGCGTGGCCGAGTGGGCCCTGTCCGCTGTCGCGGCCCACCGCCCGTCGACCTGCGGGGTCAAGGGTGTGGGGCCGGGGCCCCTACCCGGGGTGGCGCAACAGCGCCGTGATCTGATGGTGCAGCCTGAGGTCGGGCACGTCCTCCTACAGGCGGACTCCGAAGACAAGTGAAACATAGTCAAAGAACACTTTCAAGTGCTCAAAGATAGAAGAGAAAAGTAGCCCTCAGACGACTTCTTCACTGCTCTGGAATAGATTCCTCCTGTAGGGGGACACGCCCCACTTACGAAGTGCCGCCCCCCCGGCTGCACGCGACGGGGCGGCGAGAGCGCGGCCGCCCGTGCACGCCGTGTGTGTGAGGCCGCGTGCCGCCGCGCGTGGCGGTCCTCCCTGACCCGTGGACCCCCCGGGCCTCCGCTGCCCTCGGCTGCCGCGAGCGCTCTCTTGGCTCCGCAGGTCTTTTACAGAGGAAGATCTGATGGCCAGTGCTGGAATACCCCAAGGCCAGGCGCCCCTGGCTCGTCCCAGGCTCCCGGCCCGGAATCGTCCTCTCGGCTGCCGTAGATGCCGTTCCCAGTGCCAGGCCTTCCCGCTTTGGCTCACCACCTTCGGGCTCATGCAACGGAATGCGGCCTCCTCGGCAGAGCACAGACATATGCCTCGCGCCAGCGCGCAGCCGACCCCTCCTCCCTCCACCTCCCTTCTCTCCTCCCCTCCTCCATCTTCCTCCTCCACCTGCTCCTCCTCCTCCTCCTCCCCCTCCTCCTCCTCCTCCCCCTCCTCCTCCTCCTCCCCCTCCTCCTCCTCCTCCTCCTCCTCCTCCTCCTCCTCCTCCTCCTCCTCCTCCTCCTCCTCCTCCTCACGTTTGTGCTGTCCTCCCCCCTCGCCCTCCTCGTCCCCACCCCGCCCTCCCTCTCGCCTCCTCCCCACCGAGCTCGGCGCCCGCCTTTGCCCAGCGGCGCCGTGGCCCACTTCGTGACCGTCACCACCACGTCGTGGCCGCCGCCGCCCCCGGAGCCGCCACCCCGGTCCTCCAGCAGAATCGACCGGAGTCGTGACCTCCGCGCGCCCCCCCCGCCGAGCGGATGGTGCGGCGGGGGGGGGGGGAACAATCTCGCCATCCCTCAGGTGACACATGCCACGGAACAAATCAGCGAACACTCATGATGCCATATTCATCTGTCAACGCCCCCCCCTCCCCCCAATTGTTCAAAGTTGGCGGTGGGTCTGATGAGATGCACTTCGGCCGCAGTCTCCCCCGCGCGTGCCAACATTGAGGTTGGGGGGGAGGGGGAGTGCTCAGTAATTGTTTCCAACTACCTCAGTTTTCGTATTCGCCGCGTCGACAGTGGGTCCTGCGGGCCTCTCGGTGGCTCTTGAGGGGCAGGGACTCGACGTGGCGAGCTGTGATTTTCCCCTCTGCGGCCTTCTGTGGCCTTCTCTGGTCGTGGTCGCTGCGTCCCCGCCGTCGGCGCTGCTGGCCGCCGCCTGGAAGGCGGGGGGAATGGGAGGGGTGTGGCTCCAGACCTCTGCCTTGTGCGACTGTTTTTAAGTCGGCCCTGTCCCCCATACAAGGAGATTTTGGGCGAAAAAACTGAAATTACTAAAAAATACACCCAAAATGCTCAAACAAAAATGAAAAAATAGTACCCCGACTACTTTTTGACTAGTTTTGATTCCTCCTGTAGAGGGACACGCCCGACTCAAGACTGCACGCAGCAGTGCGTCCTGTGGAAGAGTCCCCACCTGCCCGAGACAGGCGCCCCAAACAGCCAAGATCAGCTCCACGGTGGGGGGGAGAAGAGGAGGTCTGGGTGACCCAGAAGGGGGTCCGGCTGAGAGGGGGTGGTGCAATAGATTTGGGGCAATCGTATTGCAAAAATACTGCGCCAGAGAATTGGATTGCATTGTATTGCAAGTACTGTCTTGCACGCGAAATCCCAGCAATACACTTGCGCCCCAGAATGTATTGCGCGCCCCACATGTATCGCAGCCCCACCAATGTATTGCACCAATCTATTGCGCCGCCCCCTTCTCGCTGGACCCCCTTTTGGGTCAACCCGAGGGGGGCGGGTCCGAGGGCCCGTCCGAGGGCCCGCGCCGATCGGCAACAAGAGCGAGTAAGAGAGCGCTCACCCAAACCTCCCCTCCCCCGTGCATGCTCCGGCTCGGCACGTGCCTTGGTTCCGCTCGCAAGGTGGCCCGCCCGGCCCCCCGATGGCCCTTGCCGGGGGAGAGCGCACACGTCCGAGCGATGCCACGCAAGGGGCCGGAGGGGGCTGAAAGGAGGAGGCCCCGAGACCTGAGCGACGATCAAAAACGGGCCTTCCGCGAGATGGCACCGCGACCTTCCGCGGTGGCGTGCGCGGGCCGCGAGCGCGGAACGGCCACCCCGGAGACGAGGGCGCTCACGCGCGACCTTCCGCGGGCAGCTTGCGCGACAACGTCGGCGCAGACGACCCCGTTTGTTTCGCTCATCTGGGTCCCGGGGCCCGCTTCCGGCCCGCTTCCGGCCCGCTTCCGGGTCCCGGGGCCATCGCACACCGATGTGGCTCGAGAAATGCCAGCATAAGTTACCAGCCTGAAACCTATCCCTATCCCTATGCTGGGCACCTCCTCATCACGATGCCAATCTTAGGGATTCCCTGATTTTTTGAGGGCGGATCCCTAAGATTGTCATCGCCTTTTGGCGTGTCAATCTTAGGGATGGGGATACGTTCGAGGCTGGTAAATAAGGGGGATGCCGAGGGGAGGCCCTTAGACCTGGCCGTTGCTAATGGTTCACGCCGAGCGTTTCCGCCCGCTTTCGGGCCCCAGGGCCATCGCAGATCGAGCCGGCTCGAAAAATAACATTCGGGGGCTGAAAAGGGGAGGCCTTGAGACCTGGGCATTGCAAATTGCTCGCGCTGGGCGTCTCCGTCCGTCTTCGGGCCCCAGGGCCATCACAGACTGGCCCGGCTCGACAAGTGGCACAGAGAAGTGGGGTCCAGGGCTCTGGTAGTGATTTCTCGCGATGTCGCATTTTTGTTCGCAACGTCGGATCTCAGGGGGGAGGAGGAAGAGGAGGAGGAGGATCTCCCTTTGCCTCTGACTATTCTTTCTCTTACGCTACCCACTGGAGAAGGCTGGGAGGAGAGTCACCGAGGGCCTCACATCACTGATGGAAGCGGTCCGCAGCTTTAGCAGTAAGGTTAGGTCGGGCATGTCCCCTACAGGCAGATTTTAGAGGAAAATGAAAATAGCCAACGAAAACTCAATAATGGCTAAACAAATACCCCAAGAGGCCCCAAGAGGCCCCCAAGAGGCCCAATAGATGCCACAAGAGACACCAACACGTCCCCCTCCTCCACCTCCTCCTCCTCCTCCTCCCCTCCCTTGCTCCCCCTCCTCTGGTTCCTCGTCTGCAGGATCGCTGTCTTCAGGGTCGGCGGCACAGGCCGTAAGGCCTTCGCAATACTCAACAAATATGCAAGAATGGTCAGACAATTAAAGGGAAACCGTCCCCAGACTCTTTTTTAAACACTTTTTTGGGATTGTTCCTCCTGCAGAGGGTCATGCCCGACATAACCTTGGGAGGAGGGAGGAGGAGGAGGAGGAGGAGGAGGAGGAGGAGGAGGAGGAGGAGGAGGAGGAGGAGGAGGAGGAGGAGGAGGAGGAGGAGGAGGAGGAGGAGGGGCGCGGCGAGGATGCTGCCGCGAAGGCGGTCGCAAGTGAGGAGGCGGGGGACTCCGGAGGAGGGGATAAGCAGGAGCGGGGAGTGCAGCGAGGGGGAGGGGGAGGCAGGTGAGCAGGGATAGGATGAACTGTGCAAGTTAACACAGGAACTTATAAAGCACTAAACACAACAGGGAGCAAACAGAGGGGCAGGCACAGCAGCAACAAGGAGGGGGAGCAGCGAGAAGGGAGCAACAAGATCTTCCTTCCCGGGGGGCAGCCAGGAGGGGGGCGTCCAAGAGGGGGGGGCGCAGATCATGGCGGGCGGCATGTGCGCAGATCATGGCGGGCGCAGATCATGGCGGGGGGGGGGGGGGGGGGGGGGGGGCGGCGACGTAACGATATAAGAGGAGGCGCACAGAGATCTGGGGAGACATCATGACCCCCCCATGATATACCCCCCCCCATGGTCATCACCCCCCTCTTGGCCGCCCCCGACCTTCGGCGTCTCCTCTCCTTTCACTTCCCCCTCCTGCAACTTTCGCGCCCCACCTAACCTGCGTGTCCGTGTCGTGGCGACTCGCGCAATGGTTTCTGTCACCGCGCGGAGCGGTCAAGCTTGAACGATCATGCCTTCCTTGAGCAGGGACCGACCGTCCCGACATTAGAGGCCTACACCGCAATGATCCTTGAACCCAGAAATTTTCTAATAACAAAAACAATGCTCTTACAACATAAGCCCGACGTGTTAAAACAAGACAGTCCCAGCCATAAATGTTGTAAGAACATTTCGTGGAAACCACAATCGGATCTTAGAACATTCTTTTGGTGGGCCTATATGCGAGCTGGGACGCTTCGCCACTGCTTGACTTCCCGATCGCGCAGGGCCGTTCGATGCCGGCCGATGCCGGGGCACGCGTGGCTCTCAAATTTGAGAGCTCGCGCAACGGGGTCGCCGCCGCGTGCACGGCACGAGCCGACCACACCCTCCTCCCCAGAGAATCCGTCGTCGTGACTTCCTCAATGCTGGGTCCCCAGGAGCCTCGACCCACCCCCCAGGACCCGCGCCTCGCCCCGAGTCGTTGTCTGACGGCCCCAGAGCCCACCGGGGGGCCTCCCGGGCCGAGGGTCTGCGACAAGAAACTCCGTCTTGATTTCTGCCAATGCGTTGTATCTCTGGGTCATTCTCCCTCCGATCTGACTTACTGTAGGTTCGCACGGCGTCGGCGCGCGCAGGCTTGTGACACCGCGTCGGTCCTTCAACCTTGAACCGATCGCGGCCCCGATCGTTCAGGATTGGATTCCGTTGGGCCCAATGGCGTCCCCGTGCCCCTCGGTGCTTCCGTGTCGCATGACTCGACCTTGAACGCCTTCGCTGGCGCCGCCGGCGCGCCAACGCCGCCGGCGCGCCAACGCCGCACGAACCTGCCGCACCCATCCATGAGTGGCCGACCCCCCGCGGAGCAGCATCGACCATGCGCGAGGGGGAGGGGGAGGGGCCAGGAGGGAGCCCGCGACCCGCTGTCCAGCCGCACGGGCGGCGGGCGAGCTCTCCCTTCTCCTCATCCTCCTGATCCTCCTTCTCCTCCTCCTCCTTCTCCTCCTTCTCCTCCTCCTCCTCCTCCACCTCTTCCCCCTCCTCCCTCCTCTTCTTCCTCCTCCTCCTTCTCCTTCTCCTGCTTCTCCTCATCCTCCTCCTCCTTCTGCTCCTCCTCCTCCTCCACCTCTTCCTCCTCCTCCTCCTCCTCCTCCACCTCCTCCTCCTCTTCCTCTTCCCCTTCCTCTCCCTCTCCCTCTTCCTCCTCCTCCTCCTCCTCCTCCTCCTCCTCCTTCTCCTCTCCCTCCTCGGAACGAACCGACCGCACCCTCTCACCCCGTCGCCAGAGGCCAGCCACCAGAGAGAACTTTTTTGTCGCCAGCGGCGAGGCGGAGGCAATCGGCACCAGCGTGGGGCTCATTGGGGCGACTGCTAGGCAATTTGTCCGGCGTGCAAGAGAAAGCGAGAGAGGCGAGAGAGAGGCGAAGACGAGGGCTGCCGCGCGAACGGTGGGGCCACCAGAGAGCACCTGAGGAAAATGCAGCGGTCGCCACAACCCACGTCGAGCTCCACAGCGGAGCGTGCGGTGTCGGGCGCCCTGCTACAGAACGGGTACGGCTCGGTGACTGGTCGGGCTAGCTGGAGTTCGTCGGCCAGGAGGGATGAAGAGAATCTACACTAGAGAAGGAGGGGGACGAGGCGATGAGGAGGATATGGAGGAGATGATGATGATGATGATGATGATGATGATGATGATGATGATGATGATGATGATGATGATGATGATGATGATGATGATGATGATGATGATGATGATGATGATGATGATGATGATTATGATGATGTTGTTGATGATGATGATGATGATGATGATGATGATGATGATGATGATGATGATGATGCTGCTGATGCTGCTGCTGATGCTGATGCTAACGAGGCGGCGTGAGCGAGGCGAGGAGGATGAAGACAGAACAGGACGACTCTGGGGCGCAGGGTGTCGATGTCTCGCAGCATCTACAGGTAAAAGTTGGCACCTGAGTGGCCCTAGAGAGGCAGGCTCACTCAGTTCCCCGCCACCACTGGCACTGGAAGCGAGTGCATGGGCCCCCTATCCGCCCCTGGCGTGGGCATAGACGCTTGGGGGGATCGTGGCACGACGGCGAGGAGGAGGACGAGAAGGCTTAGGCCGGGCACGTCCCCCTACAGGCGGAGTTCGGACGAAAAACAATACATACTCGAACCATACTCCAAACTGGTCAGGAAGGATAGAAAAATCGTCCCCAGCTATGTTTTGACTGCTCGCGTATTGTCCTCCTGTCGAGGGGCATGCCCGACTTAAGAGCAGGCTGTAGAGGCGCAACGCCCGCCTGACAGTGCCGCGCCGACATGCCCCCCCCCCCCCCGGGGAGGAGGAGGAGGAGGAGGAGGAGGAGGAGGAGGAGGAGGAGGAGGAGGAAGGGGAGGGGGAGGAGTGAGGAGTGAGGAGGGAGGAGGGAGGAGGGAGGAGGGAGGAGGGAGGGAGGGAGGCGCTGGCTGGGCCTGTTCTCCACGGAGAAGCGCACCTGCTCCGTGGGCGACAGGTTCAGCTGAAGGGGGGCGCGCCAGCGGGCGTGCAGCTCTGCGTGCATGTCAGGGAGAAGACGGAGGAGGAGGAGGAGAAGGAGGCGGAGGAGGAGGAGGAGAAGGAGGAGGAGAAGGCAGAGCGGTCACCAATCCCTCTGCGCCCGCCTCCACCTCTCCCCTGGCGGTGCTCTGCTATTTTGCGATCTGAAACTAAATAAACAGATGAATAAAACAAGGAACTTGCACGCATACGTATGGATGAGGCCTGCTCCACGCGCTGGTGTACACGATGATTGAATTGCCATGTTCTGTCTGTGCCCATGCACATTCGTAGGCTGCGAGCGTACACAGCTACACGTACATGCATAGATGATATGTGTAGAGGTGTGTCTGTATATGCCTGTAGATTCGTATATATGTAGATCGATATACGCATACATGGGTCAATACATTATTTACCTGGGTGCATGTACAACCAAGAACAGACACGCGTCCTCCACCGCGCCGCGAGGCGCGGCCTGGAGTGCCTCAGGTCCCTCGAAGCCCCCGTCCCGAGCGAACGAAGAGTCAGAGGCCGAGGGCCCAAAACTCTCAAAGCCATCTGGGCGCGGGGCTGCGCCTGCTGCAGCGCGGTGTTCGCGTGAATTCTTCGGGGCAGGTGGCCCAAGAGGGCCCCGAACCGGAAGATCGCTGCAAGACGCCCAAAATGGCCCCCTGACGGCCGACCATGGCCTGAAAGACGGCCCAAGAGGGCTCCGAGACAAGACGACAGGGCCCCCAGGGGCCAAACACATTGTGTACCCTACGGTTGTTTCACGGATGCACGCCCGCGAAGTGTTTCGTGTTCTGAGCGGCTCCTGCTTTCCTCGACTACACGCAAGGAGTGACCCCAGGTTACCCTTCCTTTGGTGCACGGCTTCTTGGGCGCCGCCGGGAGACCAAACACAAGCGCGCAAGACGATTCTACCGCATCGCGCTCAGCGATCGGGAGACCCCATAGGGCCCGCACCAAAGGTCGACGTCACTCCGGCACACCCTTCACGCGGATCGTGCCCCTCAAGTTCAGCATACCCATGCACTTGGGCTCCGCATTGCCCCGCTGCGTGCACTGTATGAAGAGAGACCCACGCCCTGTGCTACACATGAATGTATAGGGATGGGTCCGTCGCCAAGCCAATCGCTTGCTGATCTATGACCTTCGGACGCGTCCGCTACCATGCCTGAGTTCTGGGCCAGACGATTCGCAGATACCTGTAATTTGGGGTCTGCAGGCATGCTTCTTGGGCGTTCCCCATCTCGTACCCTTCTTGGGACCCTCTTGGGACGCCTGTGGCGCCTCTTGGACTGTATTGGGTCTCTCTCGGGCCGTTCTCGGGAACCTCATGGGTCGTCCAGAGGCGTTCTTGGAGTTTGATTGGGCCGTCTTGGACGCGGGCCCCCTCTGGGGGCATCTTAGAGCCTCTTTAAAGCGTCGTCTGGGCCTCTTTGGCCGTCTAGAAGCAATCTTCGGGCGTATTCGTGCCACGATCCGCGCTGAATCCGTGTCAAATCCGCGTCCAATCCATGTCAGACGCATCAGAA